TCATTTATTAGTATTTAAGTTTTAAAATTGGTGACTATTCATTTTTTCTTTATTTTTTGGTCACTTTAGAGCAATTTTGCTTTGGTTTGATTTATAAAATTAAATTTTCCCATCAAATAATCCCCCTCCCTACTTTTTGTAGTGCAGATATGGAATGTCTCCATTTATAAAATTTCCATTTCCCAAAATCATAAAGTGCATTCTTAACTAATAGTAAAATAATAATTTACTCAAATTTTTAGAGAACACAACAAACCACAATTTACTCAAATTTTTAGAAAACACAACAAACCAGACAACCCACCTTCCCCACTTTCATAGGGTGGATTTGGAGTGCCTCCATTTCAAAACTGTCCATTTCCTACTTCCAATTCATGGTGAGTGATTGAAATGATTAGAAAATTGACAGTTTTAAAATAAAGGCAATCCAAATCGACTATGTTGTGCTTAGCAGGGAGGAGAAGGAAAGAAGGAAAAAGGGGGAGGGAACAGGGAAAGAACCAAGGAGGCTCCCTCATTTGGTAGGAAAAAGGCGAAGAGGAAAGTCTCTCTTTGGCCAACCATTATACTTCCATCCAAAAGAGGGTGAAAAATGAAGAGGGAATCATTTTCTGTTGCACAAAAACCTTAAATTTTTTACCACTCGAGTGGAACAGTTAAATCACACTGCCAATTCTCTTTTTGGTAAGAAAGAGAATAACATCATCTTCCTTTACTTTTTTATCCTTATAAACTATGAAGCACGGATGGGTACGATACGACACGAACACGGTGATACGACAAATCTTTAAAAAAAAATAAAATAAAATAGGATACGGACACAGCATGAATACGACAAAAAAATAATAATATGTATTTTTTTATATATAAATTTTTAATTTTTACTCAATTTCTAAATTATATTTATAAACCATCCACCCATTTAAATTACGTCCGCTAAATAGCCCAAAAAAATTCATTAATATACAAAAAAATATTATGCTAAATAGGATTGTTATAATTTTTGTATCCAATAGTAGGATTGTTATCTTTGTAACCAAACACCTCCAATATGAAGGTAAGATTGAAATCTTATCTACTTAATCTCTTTCCCAAGTTCAAGAATCACGCCAATTGTTTTATCTCTTCCCCCAAGTTCAGGCCAGTTCTCTCTCCTCCCACCATTCATGGGTCTACTACGGTTGTCGCTTTTCCAGGCAATATCTCTATCTCTTCCTTTTCTAAACATATTCAAATATGCCTCCAAATGAATATAAACAAACACACACATATGTATATATATATATCTCTCTTTATCTTCTCCCTTTTTTTCAAAAACAAAAAATCGAATGACCGACCGTATCTTCTGGTGTGTCTAGGCGTGTCTAGCTTAAAAATAAAAAATAAAAAATAAAAAATAAAAAGAAGAAAAAAAAAAAAGAGGACACGCAATATAGAGTGTTGGATATGTGTCCGAGGCTGGGACACGTGTGTCCGTGTAGGACACGTGTCTGACACCGGTGCGGTGCTTCATAGCTTATACATAAACCTTTTTATTATAACTATTAAAGAGTATAACGGTCAAATCATCAAGCTAATACTCTTCCTACTTCCCTTTCTACACAACCAAGCAACACGAGGAATTAGAAATACCTCTTCCATCTCTCTTACCTTCCATTCCTTCAATTTTTTACATCCCTTGTGCCAAAACAAATCACAACCTGTTTGGTAGGGAAGAAAATGAAGGGAAAGAATAACGAGGTAAGAAAAGGAGTGATGGAAAGCCTTTTCTTGGTAGAGAATAGAAAGAGAAAGGAATGAGTGCAGGCATGAAGCCCCTTCCCTGATCCACGATATTTTTCAATCCTAAAAGTGAAAAAAAGGAAGAGGGAACTATATTCTCTCCTCTTTTTACACACTTATCCTTCCAAATGAAGACTTATTTGTCAAGGGTATAATACTCAAATCTTTCCTCATTGAGGATTTAAACACGTCCAATGCGTATGTACATAACCGCACTCGCATGTAACTGAGTCCATGTAACATAGCATTTATATCATTAACCACTACATGGCTATGCAAACAATCCATCTAAACCTAACATCGTATGAATCTCAACTAGAAAATTCCGGTGAAATAAAAGACTAACCCATGAAAGCCACCAAAGAAATCCTAGTTTTCTCCTTTTAGGAGACAATCGACCACCTAATGCCTTGCAAATCATTGATTCATTGTAGGTGATAAATAAGGTTTCTCCTTTAGCAAGACATCTACTATTGTATCTATATATATGTGCATATGCATATGCACTTGTATAGGAGAAACTTAGAGGGATTTGTATATGTATAGAATCTTGTAATAATGAGAATGCTAATGGTGAAGGGTTCACATAGGTGGTGGTGGATGATAGGGGTACAGGTTTGAGGTTGCAAAGAGATTGATATGATAGCAGCTGTGAAGCACTGACACACCAGATGGGGTGCCGCACTGGTGTCAGACACGTGTCTGACATGAACACGCTTGTCCCTTGTCCAACACTCTATATTGGGTGTCCTTTTTTTTCATAAGCTGGACATGCTAGACACGCTAGAAGACACGGCCCGCTGTCATTTTTATTTTAAAAAAAAGGGAGAAGATAAAGAGATATATATACATATATATGTGTGATTGTGTATATTCATTTGAAGAGAGATCTAGATATGTTTAGAAATGGACGAGATGCAGACGCATAAATGGTGGGAGGAGAGAGAACCAGTGTGAATAGGAGATGCAGACTCAGGGAGGCTTCGTAGAAGAGAGAGAGTAGATAAGATTTCAATCTTATCTTCATATTAGAGGTGTTTGGTTACAAAGATAACAATCCTACTATTGGATACAAAAATTAAAACAATCCTACTTAGTATAATCTTTGTTTGTGGATTAATGAAATTTGGGCTTATAATTTTTTGTACTATTTGGTGTACCTAATTTAAATGGGTTTGTTTATAAATATAATTTAGAAAATGAGTAAAATTTAAAAATTTACATATAATAAAAATACATATCATTATTTTATTGTCGAATTCATACCGTGTTCGTATCTTACTTTTTTAAAATTTGTCGTATCACCATGTCCGTATTGTATCGTACCCGTGTCAGTATCCGTGCTTCATAGGATAGCAGTGAAAGGTTTGGCGGGTGGCCGTGGATAATGGGATGATTGGAGTTAAGGACTTACGTTTGCAATGAGATGGAGAATAGTTGTGTGAAGGGCTTAAGTTCGAAATTTTGTCAGTTGCATCCCATATTGGGTCCAAATGGAGAGGATCTTGGGCATATAACAGGGGTGAAAATCACCTCCAGTCAAACAGTGTGCCATTTTCACCATTTTGGAATAAGTGGAGGAGAATTGGCCACATCAACTAAAAATCTTGGGTAACTAAATTTTCACCACCCTTATATTTTATATATAAAAGCTTTAAATATTGTATTCCATATATATAAAACACATTTAAATATTGTATCTAAAATACACTTGTCTTCTTCCAAAATGTGTCTTCTTCCTTTCTCTCTCTAAAAGCTTCATCAGCTTCCATTAATGGACTCTCCAAAGACTCACAGTAAGTTTTGAACTTCAAAGCTTCACTTCAAAACCCAACACATACTCCAAAAACCCATGTAATTTCACTAAAGTATTATGCAGAAACTCCAGAGTATCATCCATAGATCTAAACTTTATTCATGTAAATCTCGATTTTTGGTCTGTTTTTTCTTATCTGATTTAAGAGCGCAAACATCACTGGTTCGCACTCTTTTTAGTAGAATTTTGTTGGGATTTTACGTATAACATAAGCATGAAATATAGTTAGTACTGCTTAGGATACAAAATACGTATTGCTTGGGATGTTAAGTAGGATTATTTTGGGATGTTACGTACAACTTATACTTACTTAAATTACAAACTATTGGGATGTTATGTACAAATAATCTATTAGGATTATATTGGGATGTTGTGTACAACTTATATTGACTTAAATTACAAACGGTTTGGGATATTGTGCAGTGCACAAATAATTAAAAAAAAAAATCATACCAGTACAGATAACAAAGAAATTGAGAAATATTAGAACCAACATCCCAAACATCTAGACCGGCATCTGAATTTATGGAAACAAATCTTTGGAATAAAATGACCTAGTATATGAAGAAATGGAAGTAAAAATTTATAGAAACAAATGAATGGAGAATTTTATGAAAACGAAGGAATTGAAAAATATTAGAACAGAGCAACATCCCAAACATCTGGACTGGCATCTGAATTTATGGAAACAAATCAATGGTCCTTCTCCGTTCCGAAACAATATTTTGGAAAGAAATCAAAATCTGGGTTGCTGAAATGGCGGAATTTGTCAAAATCAATATTTTGGGAGAGAAGAAAATGGTGGGATTTGGGTTGCTGAGATGGGTTGCTGAAAATAAGGGAGGAAAGAAGAAAGAGCATTTGTGAACAGTGTATACATATATATATATATATATATATATATATATGAAAATTGTGTATAAAACAAATAAACATTTTTACCCACCTTAGTAACTTTATTGACACAAAAAGAAAGAAATGGACTACTGTGGGACAGGAGGTGACCCAGGTCCATATAACAGCCGGTATCAAGCACTATGGGCTGACTTTTCCTAACAAAGACATCCCCCTGAAGCACTCATTGACTTTTCCTAATAAAGACATCCACATGGAAGTACCTACTTGGGAGAGTAGTTGAAGAATCAACAAGGCCAAGCTCAATTTTTTACGATTTTTTCATAGAAATTTTATTAACAATGCCAATTACTACATGATTCTGAAAAATAAAATAAAAAAGTACCATATGATTAACCAGTCATCAAAGTTGCTAAAAAAAAAATAAAAAAAAAATAAAGAAGAAGAAAAAACACACGATTATCAAAGGGCTAATAGCTAAATCACAGAAGAAAGAAAACATGAAAGTCAAACGAAATAAATTAAAATGAAAGGGAAGAAATGGTACCTCTTCTTGGTTTGGTCACAATCTTAGCAGTGGTTTTAACCGTATTAGTCTCCGGTTTGGTCTCCTCCGGAAACAACACACCATCAATCCCCTGCACTGAAATCCTTCCATCCGTGTATATATCCGGGTCGAACAAATAGGCCGACACGTCTCCCTGCCCGAACTTCACCGACCCATCGGCCTCCTCCGCCCCCACCTTGTGCGGTAACCGGAGAGTATCGTACCGGACCTTCCCGAACCTCCTCACCGCATTGTACATACTCTCCTCCGTCTGGTATTCCGGTATCAAGTGGTAATACATTATCTGCTCCGGTGCACCCGGCTCGCTCAGCTGGTCGGTCGTCAGCTTCGCCATGGCCTCGTCGTTCGGGGCCAAAACGGTCAGCACATATCCTTCCGAGACCAGTCGTCCCATTTCGGTGGCCAATGAGGTCAAATTCACCAAAATGTCGGCCATTTCGTTGTACCCACCGTAGAGTAGGAGGGTTTGGATGAAGTCCTTGACCTGTGCCTCACCGTCGAAGTGGTGGTGGGGCCCGCCGGGACCTGGAGCCGGCGCCGGAGCTAGGGACGGTCCGGGTGCCATTGCGTTGTAGATTGGGAGAACCGGTGGCGAACCGGCCGGAACCGGTGGTGCGGGCTTCTTCAGCCGGTTCGTCCGGGGATCCACCTCCGGCGCTCCCTCCGGCAACACGGCGGAGATCGACCGGAGACTCCGCCGGCTGTTGAAATCCTCCTCCACCGACCGCGGCACCAACAGCCGCTCGATACCGTGGATCACGCCGTCTGGCCTAACAACGTCATCCGGGCGAACCACCCTGGCGAGATCGACGACTCTCTCGCCGGAACCCTCACTCGTCATCAAATGGAGATGGTGACCGTTGGAGAGCGTGTCGTGACGAGCCGACTCACTGGGTTGAACCGGCCACTCGTCCGATCCGATTTTCCTGGGAATGATGTGAAACATTAGCAGATTCTGCAGCGACTTCAGATTCCGAGGCTCGAGCAAGAATCGCTTGAAGTCCGGGTCCAGGTCGCGCTCCAGAGCTTCGTTTCTCGGCGCGAAGATGGTGATGTTTTGGTGACCCACAGCGTCTTCCAGGGTCTGCAAGAGCAGAGCCTTCTCGACCAACTCGGCGAGCTCGGTGTAATGCGAGTCGAGAAGGGCAACAAGGATCGAATTAGAGTTGATTTGACCAGATGTCGCCGGAGAAGACGACCGGTGGGTCGATTTTCCTCCGGGCAATGCAAGGCATATACCAGCGAAGAGTACGAGATAAGATGTGAGAATGAGCTTGGAAACACCATAGATGTGGAAATCCATGGCGATTACGAGAAATGGAGGGCCAGAGAGCTGCTTTATGATTACTCTCGCTCTATGTGTGTGCGCTTTGTTCTTTGCGTTTGTGTGTTGGTAAAGGGCGGACTTGAAACTGGGTTTAACTGTAGTTAGGAGAGGAGTGTCGGCGGCTAAAAATGAGTTGTACACGTGGTAGATGGTGATTGGTTTAAGTGTAGTTAGAACTTGAGATCGGGAGCAGCAGAGTATGGAAGGTTCGTACAGGCTGGCATAAAAAAGTAAGACCAGCTCTTTTTTAGTGGCTCCGTCTCCGCTTCATTTCTTGTGCTCGACTCCATTGTCGGCACAACATTTTTTTTGCCCGAGAATTATTGTCGGTTCAACTTTTTGTGTGCAAATTGTTGGATGGTTTTTAAATAGTTAATGTCATAATTATATCTATTGAGGAGTGATATGTCTTTGGAACTTAATTACCAACTCTTCTTCTAGATACAATGTGATTAGGGATGATTAGGAATGAGTAAAAGAGAAATAGAAGCTTAAGAGATTTTTTTTTTTTAAGAATTCTAATGTAATCCAACCACGTTATATTAAGAGAAAGAATCGGCAATTGAAGTCGAAAGATCTATCATTTTTTCTAAATAAATGTGTTAATTTTTTTTATTTAATGATATTATATCTTTGTAATAAGTCGATATCAACTCTCAATTATATGAGTGTGTGAATTTCTTGCTTGAATAGAAAGAAAACAAAATTAATATTGTCACGTTTAAAATTGGTATCATTTTGTTGACAAAAGTTAGTTTTGATACTGACGCCTTGGCCGGTGAGAAAATAAGTGTGTTACCAAACCATAAAGTTAAGCACTAGCTAATGTAATTTCTGAATTAATAGGGTAGAGCTTTTTAATTCCACTTGAGTACTTAATTCACCATATAAAATAAATATATATATTGTTGTTTGATTTTTGTTTTTTTAAACTAATGTGACAATGATTGAGTTTAACACTTTTAGGAAGTGAGAGACCATATTCTTATCAAATACCGATAAAAGTGAACTCGTTATTCTGAAAAAAATAAATAAATAAATAAATTATTTTTAAATTTTTTGCCTTTCATTAATAATACATGTTCTGAGGTCTTATTTGGTACAAATGTTTTGTTATAAACTGTTTTGAATAGTAATCAGAAATATGTTTCGTAAAATTCATTTGTTGCAAGATTTTTTGAAGTAAAAATATGAAAATATATTTGGTAAAAAAAATGTTGTAAGTTTAAAAAATATAATGATTAGTTTAAAAATATCATTTAAGAATTTTTTTTTGTATAAAAAAAATTATTATTCATCGCTACAGTACCTAACACTACAGTGCGAAAATATATACAAAATCAAATTAGAATTTTAATTTTTAATTCACTATTCACGAAACTTTTTGACACTGTACAAAATAAAATATATTTTTATTAAATACATTTTTTTTTTACTTTTACTACAGTAATCAATAAAAACCAAATAAGCCAAGTAACTTTATTGATTGTTCTTTTTATTGTGGTGTCAAATGATAGAAGAAACCCAATAATTTTTTTTTTGTACCATACTTTGTGTGCATGTCACCAAATTTTGATGACTTTTTTACTTTGATAAGAAATAAACACTCGTACTCATAGACCTCTTATTTTAAAAAGTAATAAAATATTGTTTTACAGCGTCTGATAAGTTAATTATTCATCGTAACATCTTCTCTTGAAAAAGGCATACATAAATTGCAAACCCGTGAATGATTAATTATAAGAGAAAAATATTTCTCAACACAAAAAAAAATTAATAAAATAAGTTTAGACAAATTAATACTAAAGAAAATGTGGAATAAACATTTACGAGAAGATGTGACATAGGACCCGTATAAAAGTATTGGTTGTTTCTCTTTCACGTGTTAATCAATCTAGTCTTTCTATGTGAACCACAATCTCTTTCTCCCTCCTCCCTTTGTGTGTTTTTTTTTTTATTTTTTTTTATTTTAAAGTAACGTTCCCATTTTTAACTTGTAAATAAAATTGGCTAAATTACATTGAATTTCACTATAGATAAATTATAAATAGATAGACCGCTCAGCATTTATTATTTTAATCTTTCAAAGATTTGGCGCGTGTGCTTAACAATTTCCTTAGTGTTCTTCTTTTTCTGGCACACTCGTCGACTAAATTTTATAAAATAATAATTTTACCCTTACCTTGTATAACATGCCAATATAATATATATTATAGTTGCATTACTAATTTTTTTACGCTCAAAGTCACTTTTTGGAAGGCATAAACGGGTCTAAAGGAGGTCAAAGTAATAAAGATAAATTACACTAACATTCCTTAACGTTTGAACAAATACACACAGGTAAAACGTTTGGCCTTTATTACTTTGACTGCCTCAAAATTTTGGCGTGTGTGCTTAATAACACCCTTTGTCGTTAATGGAAAATTCAAAAAATGACTAAGTTGTCATTTTTTTGTGTTAAAAGGCGTCAATAACCTTATATTTTAACATGAAATGACAAAAATACTATAAAGTACTATTGAAAAAAAAAAAAAAGCATCAATTTTCTTTCCAATTTCATATTTCTATTATTTTATATATATATATAAATGACATTTGATTAAGTTTTTTTTTTTTAATAGTTTGATTAGGTTTCTTTTTTTTCAAAAAAATAATAAAATAAGGGTAATTTAGTGTCTACAAGAAGGGTTAAAAAAGGTAATAGTATCTTTTTTATTATTAATTTATTATTAAATTAGATAATGGTATGAAAGATATTTTACACTTGTGGGGAGGCCAAAGTAATAAAGATGAAGCACGCTATTCGTATGTAATTTGCTCAAACTTTATTGGAAGTTCGTATAATTTATCTAAATAATAAACGTTGAATGGTTTAACCGTGGTCAATATAATTTACCAAAAAAAAAAAAAAATGTATAACAATAAAATGTGCTACTTTTTAAAAATTATTGTGTTAGGAATAAAAAATAAAAATAAAAATAAAAAACCAAACAAACATTGGTGAAAGTAGTGGCGGAAGGTGGTGGCTATGGTGAAAGGCGGTGGCGGTGGCAATGGTGAAAGGCGATGGCGGCAGTGAAAGGCAATGGTGAAAGCGATGGGTGGTCATGAAATTCAATGGCGGTGGTGGTAGTGGAAGGCGGTGGTAGTGGTGGAAGTCGGTGATGGTGGTGATGAAAGGCAAAGGTGGTTATGGTGGAAGGTAATGATGATTTTTTAACTTGAAACATGAGGGTTTTTTGGGAAGTAAATTTTTTTAAAAAATTTACTTAGGAATGGAATTGTCATTCTATAGGTTTAGTTGTAGAATAGATTTTCATTCCAATGAAATGACCATTCTCACTTTAAATTACATATAAAACAAATGAATGATTGGAATGGATATTCCATTCCATTCCATTCCTACACACCAAACGTAATATTAAGGCAATGTATAATAAAATAAAATAAAAATCAAGGAGTGTAAATTATTATCTTGGTATTATGAGTACGTGAATTTCTTGCTTGAATAAAAAGAAATCAAAATTAATAATCTCAACAAATTTTAATTATTATTATTGTCTTTGCACACATTTCAAGGATAAAAAATGGCAATTAAAATAATCATTTTATGACAGAAGTTACTTCCGATGTTGATGCCTTGACCGGTGAGAAAAAAAGTGTGTTACTAAACCATAAAGTTAAGCAGTAGCTAGGAGTGCACACGGTTTGGTTTGAACCGATTTAAGAGTTTTTTGAAACCAAACTAATTTTAACGGTTTCAAACCAAACTACTTGACCAAAGAAACCAAATCAAACAAAATCGTGAAAAATCGGTTTGGTTTAGTTCGGTTCAACGGTTCCTCTTTTTTTTTTTTTTTTTTTTTTCTTATAAAAATATTCATATTTCAAAATTCACACGCACAACAATAAACTAAGTGACCAAAATATTCAGAAAATATTAATATATTTAGAACTTTTAATTCATTCTTCTCCATCGCTTCTGGAACTGAAGTGAATAAATTCAAAATTGCTAATAAACTAATATTTAGAATTACTAATTCAACAACAAACAATCAGTCACAATTCAAAATTCAACCACTATAAAAAAAAATTAATAACCTAAGAGAATTAAGAGTAGACCATATGATTGATAGTTATTATAAATTTTTAAGTGATTTAGATTGTAAGATTATATTATATTATATATACTGTATAATTTAACATATATATATATATATATATATATATATATATATATATATATATATATAACATAGCGGTTCGGTTCGGTCTAATTCGATTCTAAAGGATCTCAAACCATGACCAAACCCTATCTTTACGATTTTACAAATTTAGAACCGTGATCGAACCAAAGCAAAGCAAACCAAACTATGCAGTCTGATTTGAATTTTCGATTTGACCGAATTTTTGTGCATCCCTAATAGTAGCTAATGTAATTTCTGAATTCATAGGGTAAAGCTTTTTAATTCCACTTAAATACTTAATTCACCATATAAAAAATAAATAAATAACTGTGGTTTGATTTTTGTTTTCCATTAACGGTGACCATCATTGAGTTTAACACTTTTAGGAAGAGAGAGATCATATTCTTATCAAATACTCATTAATGATATATCTTCTGAGGTCTTGTTTGGTACAAGTATTTTGTTATAGAGTGTTTTGATAAGTAATCGAAAATATGTTTCGTAACATTCATTTGTTGTAAGATTTTTAGAAACAAAAAACATGAAAGCATATTTGGTAAAAAAATGTTACAAGTTTGAAAAATATAATGGTTAGTTTAAAACTGTCATTTAAGAGTTTTTTTTTTTTATAAAAAAAATTATTATTCATAGCTACAGTATCAAATACTATCGTGCGAAAACATATAAAAAATTAATTTTATGTTTCAATTTTTAGTTACTATTCACAAAACGTTTCGGTTCTGCAAAAAAAAATAATTTTTATCCAAATACATTTTTTCACTGTTTACTATTATAATACCAGACAAAAATACAAAAGTAAAACACATACCAAACCAAAATTAAAAATATTTATTGATTGTTCTTTACATTGTGGTGTCAAATGA